AGGAACCTCACTGGCTGCAAAAGGGAACTAAAAACAGACAGACCACACCTGCCTCTTGCGATCCGCCTGACGTGGACATGTGCCCGGCTTCCTCGTCTGGACGGCGGCACTCAGCTTCCCAGTACCTGCCTCTGGGTCTTGCAAGTGTTTCTCAGCGCTGGGCAGGCTCCCCTGAGGCACCCCAGACACCCACATTCTGAGCCGGGCGCGGTGGCTCACGTCTGTAACCCCAGCTCTTTGGGAAGCCAAGGCGGGTGGATCACGAGGTCAGGAGATCAAGACCATCCTGGCCAACATGGCGAAACCCCGTCTCTACTAAAATACAAAATTAGCCGGGCGTGGTGGCGGGCCTGTGTAATCCCACCTCTTTTGGAGGATGAGGTGGGCGCATCCCCTGAGGTCGGGAGTTCGAGACCAGCCTGGCCGACATGGAGAAAACCGGCCTTTACTAAAAATACAAAATTAGCCAGGCGTGGTGGCACATGCCTGAAATCCCGGCTCTTCGGGAGGCTGAGGCGGGAGAGAATCGCTTGAACCCGGGAGGTGGAGTTTGCAGTGAGCCAAGATCGCGCCACTGCACTCCAGGCTGGCGACACGGTGCGGCTCCGTCTCAAAAAATCGATAAAAAAATAAATAAATATCATCAGTAAAACAAACAAGCAAAAATAACCCATCTAAAATCAAGCTGCGCCTCAGGCACCTTGGACACGTGTTCTCAACGCCTCATTAGAGCATGTTCTCTGGGCCTTGCTCACGCATATTTGGCCGAGAATAAACCTCTTTAAATACATTTATTTTACGTTGTTTTTGAGATGGAATTGCAGCCTTGTAGCCCAGGCTGGAGCGCAGTGGCGTGATCTCAGCTCACCGCAACCTCCGCCTCCGGGGTTCAAGCGATTCTCCGGCCTCAGCCTCAGGTGTGGCTGGGATTAAACGCACCCGCCACCACGCCCGGCTAATTTTGTATTTTTAGTTGAGATGGGGTTTCACCATGTTGGCCAGGCTGGTCTTGAACTCCCGACCTCAGGTGATCCAGGCGCCTTCACCTCCGAAAGAGCTGGGATGACACAGGTGTTCCAGCGTGCCCGGCTAATTTTGAATTTTTGCTGGAGATGGGGTTTCTCCATGTTGGCCGGGCTCGTCTCGAACTCCCGACCTCAGGTGATCCTCCCGCCTTGGCCTCCCAAAGTGCTGGAATTACAGGCATGAGCCACCGCCCCCGGCCAGCGTTTGGGTCTTTATCACAGCTTCAAGCCTCCCCTCTGCCTGGAGACCCTTGTCAGGCTGCCTCGGGGGGACACGTGCAGGTGTCTTGGTCAGGCTGGTCTCGAACTCCCAACCTCAGGTGATCCGCCAGCCCCGGCCTCCCAAAGTGCTGGGATTACAGGCGTGGGCCACCGCGCCCGGCACATTTCAGTTCTTTAGACTTAAGAACCATAAACCCCCTATCACAGACAGCCCAAAGGAGGCACCGTACCGCGTTCTAGGCGAGCATCTCCACCTCTCCACTCCGCGTTCTGTCTTCGCCGGGCACCTGCTGTGAACTGAGAAAGGAAAACAAATCTCAGGACCCCAAAATCACAGAGCCGAGGGCAAGGACATGCTGGAAACGGTGTCGGGCAAACCTGCCTCTCATTTTATTCATAAACAAAAAAATACTACAGAGATTTTAAAAACTGCATCCCAGGGCTGGGCGCGGTGGGTCACCCCCGTCATCCCAGCATTCTGGGAGGCTGAGGTGGGCGGATCACGAGGTCAGGAGTTCGAGACCAGCCTGACCATCCTGCGGAAACCCTGTCCTTACTAAAAATACAAAATATTAGCTGGGCGTGGTAGCCCATGCCTGTAATCCCAGCTACTTGGGAGGCTGAGGCAGGAGAATTGTTTGAACCCTGGAGGCAGAGGTTTCGGTGAGCTGAGATTACCCCATTGCACTCCAGCCTGGGCGACAGAGCAACACTCTGTCCCCCTCCCAAAAAAGCAGTAATAATAAATAAATAAATATAAAATATTTAAATTTATATTTATATATATAAATGTATGTATTTTTATATTTTTATAAATATATAAATATATATACTATATATTTGTATAAATATATATACTTTAATTTACTATATATTTATATAAATATATATACTTTATATTTATATATACCATATATTTATATAAATATATATATACTAGATATAGTATACTATATATACTATATATTTACATATTTATAAATATATATTATACAAATATATATTTTTAATATATAATATATAATGTATATTTATAAATGTATAGACGATATATTTATATATTAATATATAAATATATAGTATATAAATTTATATATTTATATATTTATATATATACATAAATTTATATACTATATATTTATAATATAATATATGTTATATATTATATTATATTTTTTATTATATAAATTTACATATATTATATAAAATATAGTAAATTTTATAATATAAATTTATATACTATATATTTATATATTAATTATATATTATATTATATATAATATAATATATATTATATAATGTATATATAATCCCAGCACTTTGGGAGGCTGGGATTATATATATATATTATATATACATATATATATATACATTGTATATATATATAATATATATATATATAAAATCCCAAAGTGCTGGGATTATAATATATATTGTATTATATCATAAATATTATACATTTATAAATATATAAATATATATAAAAATGTATATATATACTATATATTTTTATTTTTATAAATATATAAATTTTATTGGGCCTGATGGTGGGCACCTGCAATCTCAGCTACTTGGGACGCTGAGGCAGGAGAATGGCTTGAACCCGGGAGGTGGAGGTTGCAGCGACCCGAGATCACGTCACTGCCGTCCAGCCTCGGCAACAGAGCGAGACTCCGTGTCAAAAACATAAATAAAATAAAATAAATAAAAATACAAAAAGTAGCCGGGTGTGGCACCTGTAATCCCAGCTACGCAGGAGGCTGAGGCAGGAGAATCACTTGAACCCGTGAGGAGGAGGTGGCGGTGAGCCGAGATCACAGCACTGCACTCCAGCCTGGAGACAGAGCGAGACTCCGTCTCAAATAATAATTATAATAAAATGTCTGAAGGAAATAATACTAATAAAATAATCATAAAATGTCTGAGCGTCTAGGGCACCTGTCATGGGTATTTCCTCAGGCTGTACCCCAGCCACATGCCCTTAACGTTGGCAAAATAAACTTTCTAAATGGACTGAGATCCGTCTCAGATAGGTCTTCTTGTTCAGAATATTAACATAATTTATATATTAATTTATATCTATTAATATATAGTATATAAATTTATATATTTATAAATATATATACTATAAATTTATATACTATATATTTATAATATAATATATGTTATATATTATATTATATTTTTATTATATAAATTTACATATATTATATAAAATATAAATTTTATAATATAAATTTATATACTATATATTTATAATATAATATATGTTACTATATATTATATTATAATATTTTTTATTATATAAATTTACATATATTATATAAAATATAATAAATTTTATAATATAAATTTATATACTATATATTTATATAGTATATTATATATTATATTATATATAATATACTATATAAATATATAATGTATATATAATCCCAGCAGTTTGGGAGGCTGGGATTATATATATATATTATATATACATATATATATAAATTGTGTATATATATATATATATATATAATATATATATATATATTTTTTTTCTGCAAAACGTTTTCTACCAACAGAAAATTATGCAACGTTTCTTCGTCTTGTAGGCGGCACGTATATATTTTCTGTTCTTCTTTTCATCTTGAAGACAAGGTTTCCTTTCCCCTTTCCACTGATTTTGACTCATTCTAAAATAGAAGCCTGTGACCTTCCTCCTCTGACTTAAAGCAGCGATGATGCAGAGTGAGGGAAATGAAACTATTTTACCGTAAAACAGGGCTCTGTGCTATAAGGAATATTTTGAATTAAAAGCCCTTTGATATGACCAGGCTCTAGAAAACATTTTCTCTGATTTCAGTAACAATAAAACTGACCTGCCCAGGAAAACGATTGTGTGGGTTTTTTTTTTTTTTTTTTTTTCTTTTTTTTTTTTTCTCCCCCGGTCATCTCATTATCTGTTGCAGAAAAGAAGACGAAGATTTTATTTTATTTTATTTTTTTGAGACAGAGTCTTGCTCTGTTGCCCAGACTGGAGTGCATTGGCATGATCTCGGCTGACCGCAACCTCCGCCTCCCGGGTTCAAGAGATTCTCCCGCCTCAGCCTCCTGAGTAGCTGGGATCACAGGCAACCACCATGCCCGGGTAATTTTTGTATTTTGTATTTTTAGTACAGACCGAGTTTCACTATGTTGGCCAGGCTGGTCTCGAACTCCCGACCTCAGGTGATCTGCTCACCTCAACCTCCCAAAGTGCTGGGATGACAGGCGTGAGCCACTGCGCCCGGCCCACTGAGAGATTACCACCCCTGAACAGGCCATTTTACAAGGGAAAAGCCTGTGTCGAAGAATTGAGTGAGTTACGTTCTCCAAAGAGAACTCCTTACAAGTTCTTCTCTGTTCCCAGATCAATTATTCTCCGGTGCGTGGACGAAAAGAGTCAGACTCTGCAAAATATTGGAGATTTATTCTTAGCCAAATATGACTGACCATGACCTGTGAGGCAGGCCTCAGGAGGTCCCGAGAACACGTGCCAAGGTGATCGGGACGTGGCTTGGTTTCGTACATTTTAGGGGGGCCTGGGACATCAATCAAATACATTTAACACACACATTCGTGCTGGGCACAGTGGCTCACGCCTGTAAATCCCAGCACTTTGGGAGGCCCAGGTGAGCAGATCACCTGAGGTCGGGAGTTCGAGACCAGCCTGGCCAAAATGGAGAAACTCTGTTTCTATTAAAAAATATAAAATTAGCCGAGCCTGGTGGTGCCTGCCTGTAGTCCCAGCTACGCGGGACGCTGAGGCAGGAGAATCGCTTGAACCCGGGAGACGGAGGTTGCGGTGAGCCGAGATCACGCCATCGCACTCCAGCCTGGGCAACACAGCAAGACTCCATCACAAAGTTTTTTTTTTTTAATTAAAAAAATAAAATAAAATACATTGGTTTGGTCCAGAAAGCTGAGACAACTCAAAGTGGGATCTTCCAGGGTCTGAATGAATTTGAACATTTTCTGGCTGACAATTGGTTGACTTTGTCTAAAATCCTGGAATTGACCGGGTTCCGCGGCTCACGTCTGGAATCCCACCACTTTGGGAGCCCAAGGCAGGCCGACCAAGAAGTCACCAGTTCGAGACCAGTCTGGCAAACATAGTAAAAACCTGTCTCTACTGAAAAAAAAAAAAAAAAAAA